GACGAGGACTCGCACACCCCTCCTCCTCCTCCTCCTCCTTGGAGCCCCAGCCGGGCTAAGGAAACTCCTGGGCAGCTTCCTCAGGCTCTTGCTCCGCTTGGCGGAAAATCTGATGTGGCCCAGCCTCAACCAGACTCTACCTCCAGCGGCCCTCAGGTAAATTGAGTTTGAGACCCCTGGTCTAAAATCATCCAGCCAACTCCAGGAAAAAAACAGAATGCAGAGTATTAATTTGAAGCTCAACACATTGTACATGATGCCACTTAAGTAACTTATATAAATTGTAGATATCAGCCCAAATCCTGTTGTGTAGCTTCACCAGTGAAGATCTAACTGAGTGTGTGGGAAATTGTTCAAATTAGAACCTAATCACTGAGACAGCTTATGTACTAAGGAAAAAAGGGTTCTAGCCTGCTGGCATACATAGGAACGTTAAGTATAGATTAATTATTCCTTCATACCTTTTAGGCACACTATCGTAATCACAGTCATGGTGGTTACAAATGTCAATGGAGAGCAGAATTGGAATTTCCCCTTTACCCTTCCTCTGCAGGTTTATGACTGAAGTGGGGATTCTAATCCATGTTAATTAATGGGAGTAGCAGACCAGCAAATGTAATTAAATCAACATGCAGTGTAGTCTTACATGAAGCCAGACAAGCACCATAACATTGTGTTGCTGATGGTTAACTCCACAGGCTTCCTGTTCTCTGTCACTCCCCCACCCCCACAATGCCCAATGACATGGCTTTGGTAAGTGAGACCAGCAGTTTGAAGCTCTTTTGAGATACTAGCTTGTTTGGGTAATAGCAACCATAGTATTGCAGTTCAGATACAAGGAGAAATTATAACATTATCCCAGGACATGTTAGATCAATACAAATGAGGAAGGGAGAGGCAGTTTGCGCAAAGACTGTGATTGTTTTGGCTTAGCCAAGGTGGCATGTGCATCTATACTGACAATATTGTGGTGACCGGAACTGGACACAGCACTCAAAGTGTGGCCTCATCAGTGCGGTATAGAGTGGTATGATCACTTCCCATGATCTTGGTGCTATCCCCCTGCTGATGCAGCCTAGAACTGTGTTGACTATTGTCAAGCCAGGTACCTATCCAGTACCTGCACATCTGGTTTTCCTGCCTAAGTGCAGGACCTTACTTTTCCCACCAATGAACTGCATCTTATTGGATAGGACCAAATGTTCTAGATCCTTCTGAACATTGAGTCCATCTTCCAATCTTCCAAAGTATTAGCAATTTCCCCCCAGCTTTGTGTCATTAGCAAATCTGATGAGTGCTCCTTCAATCCCCTCATCCAGGTCATTTATGAATATGTTGAAGAGCACTGGGCCCAAGACAGAGCCTTGAGGGATCCCACTACACACTTCCCTTCACATAGATGTGGTTCCATTCAGGATTACATGTTGAGTGCAGTTGGTCAACCAACTGCAAATCTATGTGGTAGCTGCACTGTCTATCCCACTTTGTTCTATCTAACGCAGAAACAGGTTGTGGTCTACCTTATCAAATGCCTTACTGAAGTCTAAGTATACTATATCCACTGTGTTTCCTTGGTCCTCTAATTTAGTCACTTTACCAAAGAAGGCAATAAGATTTGTTTGGCATAACCTGTTCTTAACAAATCCATGTTGGTTTCTAGTAATCGCCTTGTTATTTTCTAGGTGTTCACAAATCTGCTGCTTGATTATTTTTTCCAGAATTTTCCCAGGTATTGATATCAAGCTGATTGGTCTGTAGATTCCTGGATCCACTTTTCTCCCTTTTTGAAGATTAGAACCACATCAGCTCTTTTCCAGTCCTCTGGCAGTTTCCCCGTGCTCCAGGACCTCTCAAAGATTTCATTCAGTGGTTCCAAGATCACATCTGCCATTTCTTTTCATACTCTGGGATGTAAACCATCCAGTCCAGGAAACCTGAACTCATTCAAAGCAGCTAGGTGTTCTTTTACCACTTCCTGACCTATTTTGACCTGCTTCCTTTCCCCTGTCTCCCACAGTGCTGCTTTTGACAGGGTGGACCAATTGTTCCTTTTGCATTAATACAGATGCAAAAAAAAAGCAGGTCTGCTTTCTCCCTGTTGCCTGTCACCTTCTTGTCATCTTCTCCCACTAGAGGACCAACCATTTCCTTGACTTTCCTCTCGCTCCTTATGTGTTGAAAGAAACTGAGTCTTAGCTCATTCTGAGCCTTAGCCTTCCTGACTCCATCCTGACTCCATACAGTAATAAATCGGTCACCTCTATACTGTACCAATGATCTGTTACTACCTACAAATAGTAAACAGTTCCTCAGAATTCTAGTTAGCAAATAAAAAACAACAAAAGAAACCCTACAGATTCACTAACTGCATGGTATGCACCTACCTTGCAAGGCTATCACTACACATACAGAAACTGAGATTATTGCGCAACTAGATCCAATCTAATAGTGATGTCATATTCATTAGACTATAAAACTGAGCCTAAACAAACCAGTTTCTACAACTTTTTTCCATAAAGGAAACAAGCACTGTCCTCTGTGCTCTGCCACTAAGAAGCATCTCCAGTACTGTTCAATTCTTTAAGGAAATCAGTTAATGTAATTGTATGCCAACACGTCTGAGTCCATGTATATGAGAAGATAATGGTATAATTTGGTGACTCTGAGCATGCACAGTGTCTCTCTCCATCTCAACACCAAGCAACCACAGTTCCCCAAGGTACTCTTAGGATGGATATGAAGGGTTTCCAGGAACAAAGAACCAGACAATCTTGACTCCCAGCCTGCCCACTGTAAAAATCAAACATAAAATGTTTTTGCAGAGTCTGTGTATGGCAGTGGTTCCCAAACCTTTTGCACTAGTGGCTCCTTTGATTTATAGGCCACTGGCCACAGCTCCCCAATAAAATATTTAGGTGTGATGGGGGGCGGGTAGAAGAGAGAGAAGCCCAGCCTGAGTAATACTTCCATTTTACATCCTGAAAATAATTTATAATTATAGAATGTTGCAAAGTAGTATACTAATAAGATTGAGTTTCACCTCTCCCTTCTCCCCCCCCAACCAAAGTATTGTACTGGGCAGCTGTAGTCAGTGGCCAGTAAGGAGCTTGGTGGGGGAGCTGGAGGAAAAGGAAGGGAAGGAGCAGGGAGGCAAAGAAAGGGAGAGAGGGAGGGGTAGCAGGGGAATGAATGGAGGGGAAAGGAGGTAGTTTGTGCCACCAGAGGAAGTGGGTGTATGGCTGGAGACTAGCAGGATGTGGCCAGCAAGAGACAGGCTTCGAGGAGGAAGGAAAGAAAAAGATAAAGCAGAGATCTGATGGGGAGAGAGAGCAAATGGTGCAGCAAGAGAAGGGAAAACATGGGGGAAATAATGAAAAAAGCCAAATGACCCGGTTGGGAGGGATGCATGGCAGCAGTGGCAGCAGCCTGGATTGCAGAGAAGGCAGAGGACTGAAATAAATGGAGGGAAGGCAGAAAGGAAGGCAAGAGGGAGGGGAGGGAAAATTGAGTAGAAGGGTGGGCAGAGAGGCAGCTGTGGGAGTGAGTCAGGGGACAGAACGGCAGCTGGAGGAATCCCTTACATAACCAACCAGGCTGCCCCCCTCCTCACCCTCCATTGCTCTTGTAGAGCAAAATGGCTGGATTGGGGCTTCCTCCACTCTATCTTCAAACTATTAATTTTCAAAAAACTATGACATAAACATAAATCACATAAACCAAAATACAAATTAACTGTGTGTCCACCACCATAGATGGGACCTCTTGCAATAATCTTCTTTTTCCTCCATCTATTCTTCTTCTTTTATTGTCCTCTTCTCCAGAACTGCGTTGATTCTTGAATTGGAGCTTCCCCTTTTCCTCTTGTTAACACATATTCCAAAAATCTGCCCCATATATCATAAAAAGTGTTCTTTTTCAACTCTCCTTTCTTAACCTTTAAATTACAAGTTAGCTTATCATTTATAGCTCTATTCCATATTCCATATTTCAGCATATATATTTCGAGATGACCAGATAGGCGGGGTATAAATAGAATGAATGAATGAATGAATGAATGAATGAATGAATGAATGAATGAATAAATAAATAAATAAATAAACCATTCATCCATTCAAAATTCATATTTTGATTTCCATTGCCTAACTACTATTAGTCTAGCTGCTGTTAATAAATTGGTAATCAATTCTTGAGTCATCTTATCATATTCCACATTCTCAAATACTGATAACAAAGCAATCTCAGGATTAAATTCTATATTTTTTCCACATGTGTAATTTAATTCTTTAAAGATTAGTTTCCAAAATCTTTGTACTTTTTAACGTTCCTACCACATATGAAAATATGTACCAATTTCCTTCTCACATTTCTAACAGACATTCAGATAACTACCATTACTCTGCCTCAAGTCTAGTTGGTGCAGCAGCAGCAGCAATGAAAGGCTGGGCAGGGGCAGTGTGGGAGACAGCAGAGGCAGCAGTGGTGACAGCATGCGCACAAGCGAGAACAAAGTGCTGGACCTGCAGAGTCATCTTGCTGCTGCGGCCTTCCCAACAGCCCTTGAAACGGTTTGGGAGGACGGGAAAGGGGCAGGATGGTGGGGGGGAGAGGGGGCAAGGCAAAGCTGAGGGGAGGTGTGATGAGTGCCAACGAAATCTTCCCCTCTCCTCAACCAACTCTTCATCTCCACAGTGCACCTGTAGAGGTTTGATGGCACCCCAGGTTGCTGCAACACAGTTTGGGAACCCCTGGTGTATGCTGATGCCATCTGGATGCTCAGCAATGGGCCATCCCTGGCCTCACCTCCCTAAAAAAAACTTGCTGGCTCAAGTTAACTTCTAGTCCAGAACATGCCACTGCCTCCCATCAGAACTCTGTTGGTTCCTGCTCTAGTGATGGGCTGCCTCTCAACCCTTACTAGCTTTCTGCCCATGGCATTTATAAGACAAGAATAAGTTCCCAGGAAACATTCTTAAGGGCATGCTACGTGTCATATGACCTACCCTTGGTTTGTGCCCCATTCATTCCTGATGCAGAGATGTTTGTGCACTGGATCCTTCATGTAACCTTCATAACAAAAGCATTCGCCTAGAAGTAGAGGAACAAACAAGAACAGGAAAGTGAATGAAAGTGGAAGTCAACTCAGGGCAGAAAATGTGCGTCTGAGGTGGAATTCATCATTTCAGGAATTGTTCGGAATGGAACCAGAAGAAACATAGGGCTTTTATACAAGTCTACAGTGAGGCTGCATTTGGAATACAGTGTATAACTCTGGCAATTTCATCTCAAAAAGGATATTGCTGAGCTGGGAAAAGTACATAAAGTAGCAAACAAATTGATCAAACAATTTGAGGAGCATGAAATGGCGTCTGTGGATTTCTAGTGTAACACTTGTGCCAGTGGCTTAATGAGTACATCTCTCTTCTACTGCTTCCAAACATAAGGAATTAAGACAAGAAGGTCTGTGTTCTAATTTGACAAAGGGACTCCAATTGAAACTCCTTACACAGCGAGTTATAAGGCTACTAAACAGGTTGCCAGTAATCTTACTTATAACCAATGTTCCTTCTAATTTTTAACCATGCAACTCCACCCCTCTTCTGTGTTGTGACCAGAACCAAAGGGGCTGGAAATACTCACATGGTGAGGGCAGTGTGTGCTTACACCTTAGAGGGAATCTTGCTTATAATTAAACTGCTTAATACATCATTTTATTAAAATTTTATAAAGCCAAATATATATTTTGTTAGAAACCTCTCTCAGATTACAGAGACAGGGCCTTAAGAGGGTCTGCATGCTGATTAGTTCTTAGGCCTTTTTAAAAACTTAGCAACTAGCATTACAAGCCCTTTCATCTTTAATTCATAAAGGAAAAAACTGCAGGCTTAAGCACATATAATACAGTAATAGTTAATAATTATGTCCTGTTGAGTCTCTTCCAATTTACAGTGACCCTGGCCAGGATTTCCTAGGTATGGAGCAGAGATGGGGACTCATGACTCACGAGTCACAGTTGAGTCCAACTTAAGTTGCACTGGTGACTTGACTCACACTTGACCCACAGGTTTTGGAGGGACTCGTGACTCAATTTGTGACTCATCCGTTTGTCTGAGTCATTTTGTCAAGTCCCTATGGGCCCACACCCCCACCACCATTGACCTACCTGTGGCCCCAGCCATTATCTTCAAAGGTAGCAGGTGCGGCTTTCATTCCTGGAGCCAGGCTGCTATGTGCACCCACACATATGCTGGCCAGCTGACAGGTTGGTGCATTCCCAAAGACAGTGGGCTGGCTCCGGGAATGGAAGCTTGGCCTGCTGCCTTTGAAGATGGCAGCAGGTGTATCAGCAGTAGGTAGGCTGATGGCAGGGGGGCAAAGGCAGGGCCAATGGTGGTGGTAGTAGGGTGACAGGAGGCCCAAGTCTTTTGGGTCCCAGTCCCGAGTCTCAAGCCTCAGGGGGGCAGGGCAAGCAACCTGAGACTTGGACTCGAGGCTTGGGACTTGGTACCAAAAACTCACATTCAGACTTGGGACTCGGATCCCAAGACTTGCCAGTATAGAATACCCAGAAGTGGTTTACCAGTCCCTTCTTCTACTCTAGGATTTTGCAGCTTGCCTAAGGTTACAGGGGTTGGCTCTTCCAATGGATACTCAATTTCTAACCTCTGGCTCCATGGCTAGCTATTTCAACTCACTAGCCATATGTAATAGGAAATGAATCCACTGAATATAATGGGACTTTCTTCTGAGTAAGCACACAAAGCCTCACTGCCTGTGTGGTGCATTCTGGACATGTGTAAAAGAAATGTATACATTGCATACAAATGTATGCTGCCCAGAGTAGACCTTTGGTCTAGATGGGTGGAGTAGAAATCAATAAATAAATAAATAAATAAATAAATAAATAAATAAATAAATAAATAAATAAATAAATAAATAAATAAATAATGCAGGATTTAAAAGTGGATATAAAGACATGTTTCTTCTCACATATCATTAAAATGAAATTGTTTGGGAGCTGGTACAAGGCTAAGAAAGACGTTATTTAGACAATGTATTGGAATTTAATGCTACAAGATACATATCTTCTCACCTTTCCACCATTCAGCCTAAATAAACACCTATTCAGGGAGTTGTCCTGATGAATACCTCATTCTCCAATTATTTTTGAGGAAACAACAATACATGCTTCTGTTCATTTCTTCTATATCTGTGCTCTACATATTTAATGGCAGCTGAGTCTCAAGCCTAGAAAAGTTAGTTATAGGTGGGGGAACACCCCTCCCTAAAGTTGCTAAACTGTTATCTGATTCTACAGTAGTAGAGAACACTCTCCTGGATGACATCACAGCTGCTTCTGAGAGGAGCCGTGGATACCCAATTCTTCCTCTTTCTCATAGTGATAGGGAGCTAACTTCAAAGCCTTTCTTTGGGCCAATCCTAATGGCATTATGTAACTATTGTCCTATCTGAACTGTCAACTACCTGTATGTCAGGATATTGTAATTTTTGTAGGCCTGAACCTGGATTAAATGTGTTATTAATGAACTGCCATTATGAACAGATGTGTGACTGCTGAGTCACTGTGACTGATGAAGAGATGACGCAATGTCTGAAGATGAGATGATACCCAGGTGCAGAAGATGATGTAATGTGTCCTGTGATTGGACTGAAGAAGCTTTGTAAATGTATATAAGAGAACAGTGTGTACATATCTTTTTCTTCTCTCTCTATCACTTGCTGCTATCCTCTATTCCGGTTTGTCTGATGATTGCCTGCTACACCAAAGTGCTGCCTGTCTGTATATTTGTACATTTTGTATAATACACCTGTCTTGCTAAAGAAGAAGAACGTGTCAGTGTCTTCAATTAACTCTGCATATTTTCCTGTCGATAAACCAGACACTGTATAATGTCAACTATCTGTGAGCTTGCAAGGTTAATACAAGAGAGTTCTCCTGGGGGCATGGAAGGTCTTCTTTTTCTAGTCGCCCATCAGGAGCACTGTTGGCAGATGTCCGACAAAAGGACGACATGTCCTCCTTCTCGGGCTAATGTCCTCCGTCTGGCAGGCAAAGCAAAAAAACTTTAAAATGTCCGGATTTTGTATCCCCACCCCCTGTAGCCGAACCTCAAACTGGAAGCCACCTCTCCCTCCTTCCTCTACTTGCCCTCCATCCCTCATACCCTTCTCCCCGTTTCTTCTGTCTTGTAACACAGATGCTACAATTTCTATTACTCCCAACCTCTCTTCGTCTCTCTTCCCACACTCCCCCCGCTCTTCACCCTCCCATTTCACCTCTCTGGCTTAACAAAGCAGCCATTAGATGAAACACCTGCAACTCTTCCCCCTCCAATTGCATTCCTTCCTGACATGGCAATCTCCTGAAATGATTAACTGCATTCCTCAGATTCTCACTTGTGTTTTTTCTGTGGTTCCTAATGAAGGAGATAGAAATCGTGAGAATTCACATGAGGGAAACTCAGTAAACAGCACCCCAATTCAAAACACCCAAACAGCTACTATTAAAAGTGTCCCTATTGAACCTCCTGGTCACCAATTCATTACAACTAAAGGGGTATTCCCTCTTCTTCCTCAGAACTTCAAAACAGCTGTTAAAAAGCACTTCAGAATTTGGCAGCAGCGCACAGCTAGAATCTAGATACAGAAAAGATAAAATAGAAGGTTTCTATTCAGAACAAACGACATTTGATATATTTTTATTAGGCTCAAAAGATAAAATAATTAAGAAAATGTATAATTTGTTAGAAAATGCAATGAGATGGTTAAAGAATGTATGATTAAGTGGGCATAAAATATAGGACATAATATTGATATTGATCAATGGTTGCAAATATGGAAAAATAATACAAAGCTTACAAAATCGGTTAATTTTAAGGATAACATATATAAGATGTTTTATAGATGTCATATGACTCCAGAAAAATTGTTGAAGATGTATCCAGATGTATCAAATGTCTGTTGGAAATGTGAAGCACATGTGGGAAGCTATTATCATATGTGGTGGACTTGTAGAGTAGTGAAACAATATTGGATAGGAGTGCATACTGTGTTACAACAAATATTGCTCTGTAAGGTTCCATTAACCCCAGAATTGTTTTTAGTGAGTATGATACCAGATAATATCAATAAAGCAAAGAAGTATATAGTTATATATATAGCCACCCCAGCCAGAATTCTCTATGCCAAAATGGGAAAAGTCCAGTGGTACCGAAGCAAGAAGTTCTTATGGAGAAGATAAGGGAAACGGCAGAAATGGACATTCTATCAGAAGTGATGAAGGACTGTCCTTTACAAAAGGCGAATGAAAGATGGGGCATTCTACAAATGATTAGAGTCACCAGACAGTGCTTGAATAACATAGATTAAAACATGAACTAAAATCTGGAAGGCAGAAAATAGTAGAAAAGCGGAGTTTGAATTCTGATATTGCAATATGAATAGAATGGATGTTAGTATAGTTTTGTTTCCCCTCCCCTCCTAACCGCAACCCTTTTTTCCCTTTTACCTTCTGTATCCCACACCCTAACCCAAGTTATCAAAACAATTAAAAAAAATTGGCAGCAGCACATCATAATGAATCACTGACTGCAAACACTGTAGGTCTCATCCTACAGACAGACTGGCCAGTACAAGACAGGAAAGTTGCCAACTGCATCTCTATGGGTGCTTCAAAATGTGGTTTGTCTAACTCAAACTTCATTCCACATCACTATCTTAAGAACTGTTTGTTTGCAATTCCAATGGCATCACAAGACAGGAAAAAATCTGATTTTACAGTCCCTGTGTACAACAGTTCCCATTCTCAACACCACTGCAAGGTCTTGCCACAGGGAATGTGGTATGCCGGTTCTCTGAATCTAACCATAGAACAATGTTGTCTGAAAAACCCTGAACTCCTTGGCTATCATTCCATGGATCAAACTTTAGTGACAAGTCAATTTCTCTCTGCTTCTCTTTCTGAGTCTGTGACTAACTGCTTTCAGAAAACAGGTTTTTACATGGTTCCAGAGGAGGTACTAACAACATCTCAAAATTTTTATTTGGCAAACAACATCATGGAAACT